CAGTTTCCACCAGTTGCTTCTTGTCCTGCCTTCAGGCGCTTTGGAAAATAGCTTGACTCCCTCTTCTTTATGGCAACCCCTGAGATATTGGAACACTGCTATCATGTCCCCCCTCGTCCTTCTCTTCATTAAACTAGACATACCCAATTCCAGCAGCCGTTCCTATATAAAAACAGTTTTTTTTAATAAAAAAAGTCCACTACAAAGTAGCCTATAGAATATCTTTTAATATGGAAGTCAATAACCAATTGAACTTAGTGAAATACAGAGCTGTCTTATGAATATCCAGGAATAGCAACCAATTTTATGAATGAAAGACAAGATAGTCGTGCCCAGAACAGATATCATTTTGACTCCTGAAACTATTTTGTACAATTTATCATGAACAATCCATAATATAGTCCCCATATAAAAATTCAGAAGGCTAGCCAAGTTCTTAAGCCTAGAAATGTCATTAATATTAATGGTTGTCATCAACAACTTTCTGTTTTCTAAATACACAGTGATTTTATGTAGGGAGATTAAAGATCCTGGAAATGAGGTAATAGTGAAGAAAATAATTCTCCCTCTTTCTTGTTCTTCTTTTTTTTAAATTGTTTTTGCCAGATACTATATCACAGGAAGTTTGCATTATTACTGACATAAAGGAAGATGCTGTGCAAGTGGGATTTCTCCTGAATGAAAAAATGAAGAGTCGTGTAAAAGTAAGTATTTTCAGAACATGTAAAGATAATATATAAAAGTTGCTGTTGATCAATAACTCTTTGTGTTCAACATGTTTAATATATCACCTCTTCTATGGTATTAGGTTTTATCATAGTTAAAATATCACAAGTTTTTTGAAATATTTCTTACTGAGGTAGATGTTCCTTTTGGGTTGTTATTTACATTTATTTAATAAAGAAATAAATGTTGACCAGAAAACAGTCTGCAAAATGCTTTTTTTCTTCTGCAGGGTGATACTTTATTTTTTTTCTCCTTTGTGAATAATCAAGTATTAATTATTACTTATAAATCATGCAAATAATACTCTGGATTCTTCAATAAACAATTGGTATGTCATTTGAGACATGCAGTTTTAGCAATTCATTACTAACAATTCTGGTAACCAATTTATTAAATAATCTCTATTTCTCTTTTCAGCATGTTCAAAATGTAGCAATCACCCTTCATAAAAATGATAACCTACAAAATATTTTGTTAGGACAGTGCTACAACTTTATTTGTATAAATGTAAGTATTACAGAAAGTAAATAAAAGTTTATGGGGAAGGGAGACAATTTATATAATTTTAAAAACAGTATTTTAGCCAGATAGTATTACTTAAATAGCACATAAGCATTGCTTGAGCAGAGTCCGTAAGATTATTTGGGACACTACACATCCTCTTCACGATCTGTTTTCCTTGTTACCTTCTGGGAGACGCTCCGTGGTATCCGAAGCAGAACATCCAGATTCAGCCACAGTTTCGTTCCATACAGTATAAACCTTGTGAACTCCAACGCTTTCTCCTTCCATTATGTATTCAAGATGGACAGTGATTAATAGTTATATGTTACTTATATGTAATGGCGTATATTGTATATAGTATACATATGCTGTATATAGTATGTTTACATGTGTGTTATGTATATGTACACTTTGAGAGCAAGCAACTAAATTTCATTTTTAATGTGTGCCATTGTGCCCACAATAAAAAATGTCAATAAAGGTTATAAAGGTTAAATGTTCTTCTAAATGTATACTATATGTTCACCAAATTGTCACATTCATAGATATGTGAAAAATAACTTAAATTTGATGTGATGCATTTTAGAATAAAATCAGCTGTGTTGATTATTCTGGAAATATTTTGAGCTGAAATTGTTTCAAACTTGAAACAAGGCTATTCTGAGTTTGAAACACTTTCAAAGTGATTGGAAAATCTGTTTTGTGCTAACAACAGTCATTGTGCACTGGAAAAATGTATTTTGATTGCATAATGTTTTGCACACAATAGCAACTAGATATAAAGTTTTCAAAATATGTGCTTTCAGTTTCAGAGGATGTAAGTAATTTGTCACATATGGGAAGACATCAGATTTGTTAGCAACATTAGGTTTTTGTTTTTGTTTTTTACATAAGTTTGCACTTGGCTTACCTGGCAAGTTTATTATGATCCAAATTATTTGAAGCTTTTAAAATAACTTTCTGAACAACTTGCTCACAAAAAGGCTTTTATAGCCTGTGTAGGTGGTGTATGAATGATGCTGAAGGCATCTCATAGAGGCCCATAATTCTCATACAAATCTTCTATTTTTTTACTATATAAATTACCTTCAGATGATTGCATTTTATGTTTATTTCCAACTGTTCTGATTCTATGGCTCTGAATGGCACAGAGAATGGGAAAACAAGTACATAATAATTTATAAACAAGACAATAATTTATAATGTAGTTACAGATACATAATTTAATTAGAACATGGAGGGCTAAAAAAGAGTACCAAAGGTACTTGGAATTTTTTTTTTAAATCCTAATGGTAAAGTTCACACCTTAAATTCAGTGTAGGTAATATTAAGCTTCCTGTATATACATTATCTGATTCAGCATATGGCAAATTCCCATATTTCTAAAAGAAAAGGAACACCATATATCACAGGTTTCCAAAATAAATCTTATTTCCTTTTTCTTTAGAATAAACTGCATGGCTTGGAGGAAATCTCATTGCTGGTAGACAAACTTGAAAACATGGGTGCTTTGGTTTTGTACCCTGTTGTTCTCATTTTGGTAGGTTAAGATGTTTCTTCAGCTTATAAAATATTTGATCTATTCAGTGCAATACTATTGCTTTATTTTTTCAGCATTGTTGTGACTTTGGTAACAAGTAAGAGATATTGTAAAAAGGAAGCCAAAACAAATTCAACAAGTTACTTAGTTTTTTAATTTATTGCTTTTCTAGAAGAGAGTTATTCATTTTGTTGGGTATTTGATTTGATTTTTTATTCCATAAAAAAGCAATGGTTTAAAATGCAGAAAGACAAAATAAGATATGGGATTCAGTTATGCATGTTTGTTTAGAAATAGATTAATCTGCTGCATTTATTCCCTGGTTAACAACTGCAAGCAAAATATACATAAGATTTCAGGGAGGAAATATTTGGTCAACTGTTAAATAGAAATCAATTATTTTTCCCCTTTGCATCTGCAGAAAATAAGAACATTCCTTATAATCAATAATTTGTATGTGCCCTTCCTTTGCAGGTAAACATGGGCACTTTAGAAAATACATCTTTTAACACTGGAATTGAAAGCTTAACTATACTTGCAAAGGAAGTGAAAAAGAAAAATATCTTACTTTATGGTCTCTTTATACAGTATAAAAAGGTATGTGCAATAATGAGTGGATAATGAGTTTTTTTTTGTCCTCGGGTTATGACAGCAAAGGGATTGGAATTTCCAATGTTAAGCAATGGGATTATAAAGCAAGATGTCATATGATCACATCATTTTGCAACAGCAATCCTGGTAGTGATTACATCATAAACCCAAGACCATATGGGTCATTAAATGGGCATCACGTGAATGCAGTCTGTGAAGTGCAGGTTGAAGTTCCTGGCAAGCAAGCTCACAGAGGAGAGCTATGAACTGATGCTAAGGAGTGGGAGAGTTGGGGAAACAAGTGCCATAGCACTTGTGGGAATGTGTGCATAATAACTTCATCTATGCTTCCTACCAGCTTGGATCTTAAGATTTTCTACCTGTGATTGAGGACGCAAGTAGCCATTCATAGAAATAAAAAAGGAAGAAAAAAATGCTGAAATCCTAGAGATATAGGAGAGAATCCATAGAACAGGCAATGGAGAACTAGAAGAAGCAGGACATGAAAATGTGACAATGAAAAAATTTAGCAAGTAGAGACCTTGGAAAGCCTGGTAGTAGAGGTCTCAGGTGACCAGGAAGCTTGGCTTTAGTAGTAGTCATATTAGCCACCACAATATTTTCACTGAAACAGCAGGACATCAATGGCAGGAAATGTAGCAGAAGAGTTAGGAGGCTAGCAACTTGTAAGAGCCCAGGGGTACTAAGACATCTTTCAGTTCCAACAGGAACTGGGTTCCGACAGGAGAGGCCCACACGTACCCACAGAAGATCCCAGGAGCCTATCTTACTTGACAGGTGACCTGTAGCAAAAAGTGAATTACTTCAATTTTTAATACAGTCTGGGTACAGAAGTAACCTTCGGACAACGTGGGCTAGGGAGCAGGGTATCAATTAAGACATTAAAGACAGAGTAAAAGCTAAATGTAACACAGGAGGGAAAAAAAGCTATAATATGTGGAAACATAGACAATTATTTCTATAGCGTATAGACTTGTACAAAAGGACTTCCAAACTTCAGATACATGTATATGGATACAAAAAAGAAGTCATGGATAATATAGAATAATAGTTAGCAGATATGGTAGAACACTGTATATAAGTTTAATAAGTTAAATAAGAAAATCAAGATCCAACAATTTTGAGGGTGTTAAGAAATGTTTTATTTTGTATAGTTTTTATAATAAAAAGTGCAATCTGGTACTATCTAACAACCAAACCTCTGATACACAAACTTAACATCCCATATTGTGATTAGAAGGAGGATTACTCTAAGCATAAAACAGCTTGGAATTATTCAAAACAAGAATGCTTGTGTTAACCAAGTTTTTATAAGTATAGTGTGCATGTAGAATAAATGTGATTGGTATGGTATATTAGGGGCCATCAATCTTTTGAAAAATAAACCTATATAATTTATACATCTGGCTGTGATTTCTAGTTATTGAGAAATAAAGTATTATCTTACTGCAACTACTTTTATTTAACTTAATTGGAAAATGGTTTATCTGCATTGAACTATATAAAATGCATAATATTACTTCATAGCTATCTTTGATAAAATATAATTGTGAGCAAGTAAGTCAGTAATTCAGATGACAGTGAATTGCAGATTCATGTTCAAGAATGACAAAAGTTATCCAAATAGAATTTGGAAAACAAATTATACTATCTTTGTGGTAAAAATCTCAACCAAAATGTAATTGCTCAAATATTTTGACCGTCAGTAAGTTTTCCTTTCTTAACCCTCAAGCATAAATATTACATGTCTTCATCAGTCAACAGTGATTTTATTAATATAATTAGAGTAACAGGTAATAGATCTTCATTTTGTCCTAATTCATAATTATAAATTTATTGCCAAAGTTCTAACACTTTATATTGACATAAGACATTCATTTACCTGCTCATGCATGCATCCTGACAATGCAGATGTTCAAAGCATTTTTCAGTGAACAAGAATAGAGTGAAATATATTTTAAAATATATACTTAATATATAAATAGTAGCCACCTTATTTTCCAGAAATGACAGATTCCCAATAGAAGTTTGAAGCTCATATAAATTCTAAGCAGTCTTCCCAAGCAAGTCCCAATGAATTCCACCAATTTCCTCAGTGGATAAGATTGTTGCTACACCCATTATCTCTATTTTTTTTTTTTTTTACTGATGATGCATGTATAGAAGAATAATCTTTTTTTCCTTTTTTCCAAATAGAATATGTATATTAATACATACATAACTACATATGGATAGAGCAGATGCATTGATTTAATATGCAAATTAAAGCCAATATAGTATGCTGTAAAAAAGAAGAATATGTATTATGTGCGTTATGGGCAGCCTTGATACATTTGTTGCCTGTATATGTACTGGAAATTGTAGCGGCAAGCCATTTATAATTCTGTGATATATTAACAAATTTTATATCTTCTTTCATGAAATTCTCCTGGTATAACTTGTTAGCTAATATATTTGGGGGAAGAAAAATTATGGAGAGCTGTATATCAGTTTTCTGTTTTAATCTGTAAAACACGTTATTCTTTTTAGTTGAATCATGAAGCTTGGTTAATTTTAATGATGAAATCTTAGCATAAACCAACACTCCTTCAAAAAGCAATTTTGAAAATTCTTTATTAAATTTTTCATCATAATTAAAAGCACTAATCATGAACAGAGCAAAGAAATGAATTAATGGATATAACAAGAAAAAATTGGGAAATGCTTTTGTTATATTTGGCAGTTGGAAGAACAGTGTAGAGAAGCAGGAAGTTATAGCTGAATAGCTGTTTTGCTCAGGAATAAATCCCTGCTGAAGAACTGAATAATTAGCAATTCTAAAGAAAAACTCCATAAACATCCCATTATTTAATTCAGAGAGGGTTCTCTCTGAATTAGCATGTTTATTTGGCATAACTCATAACAGAAATATCTCTGTTCAATAAAAAGAATCTTGTCATAAAAGTCTTTCTTGGCTTTGTTTTAAAGTTGTCTTTGTTTATTTAGTGTAATTTTCTTTTGTGTATTCATTGAAACCAACACTCTTTAAGATTTTGGTAATGTGAATAGTGGTATAAATATAAACAAGATTTGTCAGTACATAATATTTCAATCTTTAAATTGTAGAAAGATTTCTCTCAAAATAATGCTTCCATGTACATTTTTTTTACCAAGTAAGCAGAGAATTATAGCCTATTGCATAGAAAATGTAGTGTTCACATTGTTCCATATATTTCAGTATCTGATGCAGCATATATATATATATATGGAAATAAATTGCATTTTAGTGTAATCATATATGTTTACTCTGATTTAATAAGTTTTACTTTCAGGGATACGAGCATAAATTTTCAACTTTAGTAATTCAGTTTACTGCTTAGATTGCTTATAACTTTAAGATCATAAATATTTTAATCTGGATTTTTACTAAAATAAATAAATTAGTTTAATTATAATTGGAGTGAGTCTCGAAATAAATGCAAGTATAAATGTAGTATAATTTAAGTTCCAGAGATTCCTGTGGCTCTATTTTAAGTATGGTTAAATTAAATCCAAATCAATTTTGTCTTCCTACTGAATTTAAAAATGCATTAATCTAAATCTCAGACATCATAATCAACCACTGAAATCACTTCGGTTTAAAGTTATATATTTAATTGATATTTCTTTGGGCTTTGGTTTCCTCAGATCTACAAAGAGCAATAGCTGGGTTTCATAAATGTAATAAAAACTTGAAGATCCTATAATTATAATTATTATTTTGTGATTTAACAAAACAAATCCTGTTATTCTCCTTTTGAAAATTAATTTGAACCAACTAACAGACAGATCTGCAATTTAGTTGAGAAGCCATGATGCATAGATTATGGATTAGTAGTTCTAATGTATGTTATTGTTCCTAAAGACAGATGAATGAATGTTCTGTGATAACAAAAGTTTATATTTAAACTGTGAAGTTTAAATATATTCAACTTGGAGAGAATCATTGTGGGCATGTGCATGATAAATATTAAACATATTTTAATATATTTTGCCACTTTTTAAGTAAAGGCACCAGTATAGTTCCCAGTAAGATCTAAATATAATAATGAGTGGTGAAAATGATATGCATTTTTAAAAATGTTTAATGCCTATATATCACTAGATAACCCATGTCCCATTGGATCATTGTTTCAGAAATGTTTGCTTTTGAAAAATAGAATGACCATGAGTGGGCAAAAAAAAAAAAAGCAGCAATGAGAGCTGTCTGCTGGCTTCCCCATTGCCCTTCCCCAACGATGCCCTTGACGTGATGGCCCGTTGCCTGGAGGCCATACGGGTCTGGATGGGGGGAAACAGACTCAGGCTCAACCCTTCCAAGACCGAGTGGCTGTGGTTCCCGGCGCCTCGGCATAGTCAGCTGACGCCATCGCTGACTATAGGGGGCGAAACCTTGGCCCCCTCAGAGAGGGCGCGCAACTTGGGAGTCCTCCTGGATTCACGGCTGACTTTAGATGACCATCTGTCGGCCGT